CGAAGAGTTGAATAAACTCCTCTCTGGAGTCACCATCGCCCAAGGTGGTGTACTTCCTAACATCCAGGCAGTCCTCCTTCCCAAGAAGACTGAGAAGAGCGCTTAATTTGTTCTCCGCCTTATATTTCAACGGCCCTTTTAAGGGCCACCAAAAACTTTCACTAATGATATTGACGACCATTAATTCGTTTTGTGATTTATACTTTTGCCTTTATTTGTACTTATTAAAAACCTGTGATGATTTACCTACCTCTAATATAAACGAAAACGGCGAATACGAATTCGTGATTGACAACAATGTTTTTTAGAAATGGAGAGAGAGTGCGGTGGCGGTGTTCAATCCTGTTTTAAAATAGATAGTCCCTACTCACTCCTTTTGTAAAAAAAAAAAAATGGTTCCTACTCCAATTTGAGTAGGAACCATCGTTTTGAAAAAAGGATTGAACCACTCTCACTCCATCATTAATAATTTCTGTTCTTACTCACTGTAAGTTGTTTCCCAACGTCTGGATTTCGAGCTCCTTAGCTCATCATCAGCATGAAGGATTCTATTGGGTTGTCCGGAAAATAATGCAGGATTTTAAGTTTTCATTAAAAAAAATCTATATAAAATATTCTGTTTACGTTTACAGGATTACTCATTNAAAAAAAAAAAAAAAAAAAAAAAAAAAAAAAAAAAAAAAAAAAAAAAAAAAAAAACAATTAATAATTTGGACGTTTAATATTATTTATGTACGTATTGAAATGGGAGGTAGATCAAAATCTATTATATTATTAATGCATTTATCACCATGTTCAATTTTACATTTTTTAATTTCAAATTTCTCAAACCTATCTAGTTCTCTCTCTTTGTTGAAACTATGTAACACTTGTATTTAAATTTGAATTGAAATTATGTTTTGTTTCTTTTCTATGGTCCTTAAATTCCGAAAAGAGTTCTTTTACTCTCGTTTTTATTTCTCTACCGCTTTCTCCTATATATTTAATATCACAATCATTAAATTAAGTTGGTAAACCCCGCTTTTTGCCAAGTTGTCTACCTTGTCTTTAGGTTTTGAGAGAAAGTTTTTAAGTGAACCAGTACTTCTAAAAGCTATTCTAAAACCTTCTTGTTTAAAAATTTTACTAACTTTTTCCGATAATTCACCAATGTATGGCAAACAACGGAAACCTAATGATTCATTTATGGTGGGGTGGCTGAGTCCTATTGTTGATTCTTTTAAAGTTCATTTTTTTGACTAGCACATCAATAAAATAAAAGATTCTTTTACAATTAATTAAGGTTTTGGTCGAGATAAACAAAGTCAGTGTCTCGAGCGAGATTCGAACCCACGACCTTCGGCTCGATACGCCGCTGCTCTACCACTTGAGCTATCGTGACTTCGATCCACTCGGACACTATCTTCCCATCTCAACTTCTCCATTTGAATTTCCCTCATTTTTGTCATTTTCTAATGTCGTGTAATCTATTTGATTCTCGGCGACAAATGAAATGGCGACGGAGAGCTTTAGTGAAGTATACTTCATTTTGCTAATTACATTTTATTAGGTTTCGTGGTTGAAACAACATGTTTTGTAATCCGCCCAGGCCCTTAAGATGACCCGAATAAATGTCGGAACGCAGCAAAAAATCAAAAAGGTGTCGTCAATAAAAAGCACATATCTCATGTTGTCAAAACTTGACTAATCCAGTTCTGCTGACTGCTCCGAGGAAAAAAGCTGTTGAAAGTGATTCCAGAATAGTCGTTATATGTATTTAAAAAAATTTATGCCTTCAGCTTCATCATTAATACGTTTTTTAAATACTATTTTAAGTAAACTTATGACACCCAACCCTAAACCTCCCGATTATAGGGTTTCCGAGCTCTCTGGGCCCATTTTGACTGATCGGTAAAACAGCAATCGAATAGGATCTTGTACAAAATGTTTTAATATCAAGCGCAAAAATTTCAAGTATGCATTAGCTGGAATCCTGCATCACTTCGAAAAAAAGTTCTTTTTGTTTTAAAAAACTATAACAAGCCACTAGTAAACAGAAACCAAGTACAACCAGGTAATCAGAGGTCGTATGATAAAAATACATAAACACAACCTTATTAATTGTTACATTTTGTTATTATTTATGTTATGTATTAACGACATTAAAGAGAGAGTATCAACGGCTAATCAGTAGTTTTAAAAATTCTGTACCCGATTTTTCCTTGCCAGAAATGTATCAAATACATTTAAAAAACAAATAATATATAACAAATACTTTGAGAGAGTAGAAATACTTTGATTGAATATATAACAAAAATATATTTTGCATTGTATAAATTCACTTTTCCACATCCAAAATGTAATTGTTATATGTAAACAAGGTTTGTAAATCCCAGGCCCTGAAGATGATCTCAATAAAGATCGAAACGTTGGCACGATAAAGAAAATGTTTTTATGAAACCTACATAACACCAGACCGCATCTCACGATTTCTAAATAAATATGTATAATACTTTATAGATATTTTATTTTGAGTTTCTTTACGTACATAAATTAAAACAATGTATTTATTAGTACTAATATGTGAATGGTAGGTAAATAGTAAAGAATGCATTTAAGAATGAGTGCGAGTAAGTCTAGGATTAAAACCTGAATGCGCTGGGAGCTGAAATAACTTAGCTGTTGACAGCCATTGGAGATTGAGCTTTGACTCGGGTTTTTGTAAGCCCAATTATGTTCATATGACATGTATACGGAGATGAGCTTATTTAAGCCGATGGGTAGGATGTAAATTGTCTTTTCCACAAAAGGAATTTATGTCGTCAGACGCGTTCGGTCTAATATAGAACATCTTCAGTGACTTTTTTGAAATAAAGTAGTTTGACGGTTTTTTTGCATAGTTATGTTCAAAAGTGCATGTCTGGACCATTGTGAGTAGTCTGTTTTCTTGCCACGTTCATACTCGTCCAGACATCCACTTTTGAACTTGTAACTGTGCAAAAAAACCGTCAAACTACTTTATTTCAAAAAAGTCACTGAAGATGTTCTATATTAGACCGAAACGCCTCTAACAAAATAAATGCCTATTGTGGAAAAAACAATTTACTTTCTACCCACCAATTTATTATGGTTTTCCACAAAATGGGCACTATCAAATAAGATCTTACATAAATTAATCGATCAATAAACATCGTGATCACTGCTACCAATGCATGCAAAATCGTCGTCAAAATCTATTTTGATTTATCTGAATCTTTCCAATCTTTGATTCTTTTGTTAATGGTAAGACCCGTTTTAATAGAATATTTCATGCAGGTAGGGGAGCAAAGGCAGCTGCTACCTGCCACCTGTCAGTGGAGGGAGACTACACAATAGAACCTTCGAGGGAAAACGTTTGAACGAACACCTTGAATATATCCGGAACGTACACCGTTTCTCCTGAAATTATTAAACTTAAACACTTGAAAAAAAAAAAAACATGCTGTACATACTCGAACATAGTTTTTTAAATATTGTGGTCTACCTTGAGAACAATTGTCTACTGTGTAAAGTTTTTATTATTTTACAAACATTTTTTTTAATAATCTTCGATGAACATCTAAACACTCGAAGTAATTTGGCATAATGCGCCTTTTATCCTCTAGTTCTGTAGCTATAGCGTATTGGCGAGTCCCAAATCATTAAGAAACTTATATATACTTACTTTACTATCACTAGTTTTAGTGGATGTAGTTCTTGTTTTACATTTGAAAAAATTTCTACATTTTCAGTCTGTTAGTAGGTGCATTGGGGTCTCTTCTGCTTCCTGATACTCTTAGGATTCAGTTTCATGATACTTTAGTTTCATTCTGTAGTGTCATTCGTTCCAGGTCTCGCAATTTATTTTTAGTTTGTCAATACTGAGCGATTCCCATTATTTCTTCACTTAAACCATAACATTTTTCCTAAAGTGTACAGAGAAGCAGCCCCTTTTTTTGCAAGGCCATCTTCTTCTTTCTATCAATGTGTCTTCGGACCCAGCAGAGTACAGCCTTATTTTACGAGATCTGTTTAGTTTGGTTTTGCAAATCAGCACCATTCTTGTTCTTGATGCTTGATTATCCTACATGATATCTATGTTCTTGTTTTTATATCTCCTACTCAATTTAAGATGATCTCTCATCTACTGGATTTCAGCTTGTAAACTATGTACTTGATCTACATCTACTGGACTCTAAATATTTGATTTTTGGACCAAATACTGCCCCTTTACCTTCTTATATCCTAGATCCCTCAGTGTACCAACAAATAGTGTCTTCCTTGGCTGGGTGATTTTTAATTAATCTTAAAGAACTTATATATTACATATTTATAAGTGCATGTACAACATTATAATGAATATATATATATTTGATATGAACAAGTTTGATCCAGTAGATGGTATACGAAAGAGCGAACAAATTCTTACATCAATAAAAGTAACTATTTGAACTACTTACTTCAATTACTTCAAATAAAACAAAACACAAAATTTATTTTTAATAATAACAATTTTAATTTAATTCAATAACACAATTCAATATTATATTTATATAAATAATAAATTGATTTAGGGTTGGACGAATAGTGAAGCAAATCAGAAACCAAGGTGCACTAATAAAATTTTCAATTTTTCCTTGAACGGAATTTTTAAAAACTGTACTATATTTTCAATGATTTAATTGATTTTTATAACATAATTATTAAACACTAAAAAAACACATAATTATTATTGTTTACTATAGTCAGAGGGTGATAGAAAAGGCAAATTTTGTTTTAATTTTTATAATAATATAGTATTTCAACATTATTAATAGAAGTAATCATTTATAAATTTGTTATACATTGTAATTATGCTAAATGCAGTATTTATTGAGAAAGCGCTTGCCATCATCTGCTTAACCGATCCCACCACTATCGATCTTTCTAGCTAGAAGCGTTTTGGAGGGGAGGGAGTACCCAATAGGAGGAGGCCTCGTAGGTATAAATACTGGTTCGTCGGTAGTTCAGGGCATTGTCAGTTTTGAAATCTCCATCATGACTGGTCGTGGCAAAGGAGGAAAAGGTTTGGGAAAAGGAGGCGCCAAGCGTCACAGGAAAGTACTCCGTGACAACATCCAGGGTATCACTAAGCCCGCTATCCGTCGTCTGGCTCGTCGTGGAGGAGTCAAGCGTATTTCTGGTCTGATTTACGAAGAGACTCGTGGTGTGTTAAAAGTCTTCTTGGAAAACGTCATCAGGGACGCTGTCACTTACACCGAGCACGCTAAAAGGAAGACCGTCACTGCTATGGACGTAGTCTATGCCTTGAAAAGACAAGGACGTACCCTCTACGGTTTCGGAGGTTAAACCTTCCAACCTTTTCACCGCATTTCAACGGCCCTTTTCAGGGCCATCAATTTTCATCACTAATTACGATTAAACCAACCCGATGTATTGAATGGAAATAGCATTGTAAACATTTCAAATTCTATGGTTCAAACCGACTCGACAGTCAGAAAAAAAATCCTGAACGGGCGGACCATTTTTTTCAATACGTAATATTAATAATCATATATTTTTTTACTGTAACTATGTGATAACGTTGGCTTAATCTAGCATAAAAACTATTAAATAAATAATCCAAAGTACTGGCCTTTTTGTCTTTATTTCGACGTCGTTCAATTATTTGTTGAAGTAGTTATGAGAGGTCAAGAAATGTTTTAGGAAAACGCCTTTTTCATTTTTTGTCGCGTTTTGACCTTTATTTGGGTCATCTGTAAGGCCTGTGTAAATCACAATTTTTTACTTAAGCCAATTTATTTCTAGTGGAGGAAAAGAAGCACCAAGGTGCAGCGTGAAAGTTTTGTGTTTGTTAATTAAATGAATGGAAAAGGTCCCCCCTAATGCTTATTGTATGTGGGCAATTTTTGTTATCCATGGTTGCCGACGTGCGAGTTGTTGCCTTAACTCCCAAAGCTTAATTGCTATGAATATAATATAACTTGGCTGTATGGACAGAAAAATGAATTAGAAGGAAAAATGAGAAAAAGAAAATAACGGAAGAAGGAGATAACTTGGCCGGGCGTAAAATTATTCACAATATAGTCATTAAATGTGTGGTGATTTGGTATGACTCTCAACACGACACGCAAGAATGGCACAATTACACAGAAGACAAACACTTTGAGCCCTGAAGATTATCTCAATAAAGATCGAAACGTTGGCACGATAAAGAAAATGTTTTTTCTGAAACCCATAGTCATTAAAATAACAAAAATGAATAGCTCATGTTAAAATAACTTTTTCTAATTCACATAAAAAAATCTGGTTTCCTAATAGGTCCAGTTAAAAATATATTACCAAAACTGTTGTTTCTTCCCCCTCTGGATACTTCATTAAAAACGTTTCAAATAAATTCGTCTAAAGTACAGATAATATAAATCTTTTCAACTGTAGTTTAAAAAAAAAATACTTTGTCTAAAGAAATAAGACTAAAAATCATTTAACTAGTCACCTTACCTAATATGACTGTTTACATGGTTAAAACTAGAATACATCAATAAATAATGAACGTGATATGCAAGTATTTTTTGTCCCTTTCATGAAAGCAAAAAGTACCACTGACATAGATTTTTGTTCGTTCATGAACCATTTGGAGAACGATGGTTTTTCGAATTGAAGATGGACTTGTGGTTCTGATATATGCGTTAATTTCACAATCGTGCAAGTGGTTTTTGGGCTAATTTTTGAAACAATTGATATCTAGAGGGACTGGAGTTTCACGTAGTTGTAAAAAATCACAACGTTGTGTAAAATAAGCATCTTAATTTCGATGAAACTGAGCGTTGACATATAGTCTGGAGGATGAGTGCTAGTTTGTTTCGCTTATTTCTTGATAAAAATGTATTTAAAGCAATTGATTCTCTGTCGTCTTATTGAGTTGACCCTGGTCAATATTTTCATTGTTCTGTATATTTATAAACATTGTTTGTTGATCTGATAAATTAAATAACAACTAATAGGAGAAACGCCGAATTTAGGTTTAAAGGAATGGCGCAGTAAATAGGACACGGTGTTTTCGTTACGGTAAAGCCCCAAAAGTGACAAGCCGCTTCCTGGAATTTCTCCTACAACGTTTGAAAACTTGACAATATGGTTTTGACGATAGCACCGACACCGGCCCATCAAGAAAAGGTGAAACCCATCAAGGGGAAGGCCAAGAAAAACGACAAACCGTCTCATCCTCCAACTGCGCAGATGGTTAACACTGCCATACAACAGTTGAAAGACCGTGGCGGTTCTTCACTTCAAGCCATCAAGAAGTACATCTCTTCGACTTATAAAGTCGACGCCGAGAAACTCTCACCGTTCATAAGGAAATACATCAGGAACGCCGTGGCTTCGGGATCATTGGTCCAGACGAAGGGTAAAGGCGCTTCTGGTTCTTTCAAACTCGCAGAGATCGACAGCAAGAAGAAGATAATAGCTAAGAAGACTCCAGCTGTGAAATCCCCGGCCAAATTGAAGGTAAAGATGACCAAGAAGCCTCCAACTACACCTAAGGCTCCTAAACCGAAGAAAACCAAGGCTGGTTCAGCAAAAAAGATACGAAAGACCAAAAAAGCAAAATCAATCCCTGCGAAATAGACGACTTCATGAACACAAATTTAACGGCCCTTTTCAGGGCCACCACAACTATCACTAATATAAAAACAAACAAAAAATAAAGCATAGGTAGCTTCACTTTCGTTTCTATTAAAAACATGGCAAACTAGTCTAAACCAAACTATAAATCACACCGATTAAAAAAAAAAAACACCTAAAAGCTAGGTTCCACTGCGCGAAAGTAGTCTCGGGTTAACAATTTCCACAGATCACAAGTTATCAGAGACCAAACAAGCCCTTTACTACCAACTGCTGCATCAGCATTTGCTTTCGTAGCGATAATTTATGTTAAAAAGAAAAGGCCGGTGGTGGATTAAAAAATTATTCTTCGGTGAATGCGATATGAGAACCGTGTATTGAGGGATATATCGGTAGAACCCATTGAGTAAGAAACTTTAAACGTAAGACTTCCGAATGGTGTACATCTCTTGCCTTCCAGTAAGACCTTATTAAGAGTTTTCTTTTTCGCTTTAAGTGTACCAACAGTTTGTCCCATTTTGATGCTAGTTTCCTTCTACCCATCCTTTATCTTGTTCTGATGAGTTTTATCTTTAGCATCCCATAAAAATCGGATAAGTCGAATGCGCTCCTCCTGGTTTCATTCTCATTTTCGAGAAAAGTGCGTGTACAACGCGAAACAAGTTTTGAGAAACAGTTGCGCCAGTGAGTTTCGTTCAATTAACAGAAGTTTTAAGATCATTTTTATATGCGACATCCCTAAATTGAAGTAAAGACCATTATGAATCCTCCGACTACACAAGGTCTGTTTGGCAAAATAGCTAAAGCATTCTCTACAAAATAGGACTTTTTCTAGGCCGCTTCCACAGTCATTAAAAATATAAATAAAGCCCAGCATCACTTTAATTTTACCGTTATCGTTACACATCATCTTGAACTGCCAAGACAATTTAATTCGTCTTTATCGCTGGGTTGGTCCGTCAGATTTCGCCATCGTCAGCATCTGTCGATAAAAATACAGGCTCGACCCTCTGATTTCAATGTATGTTACAGAAAAGACAGTTTTTGGTTCCTTAAAAGTAGCAGCGAATGGCAATTATTGGTATGGTAAAAAAGGATACCAGGAAGCGGGGTTTGCCCTCCCCAGGAACTGCAGCCTTCTGTCTTCCTTCCTATTCCCAGTTCCTTAGTTCAGTGCAATAGATTCAATCCTTCTCCTTAGAAGTATCAGGTCATTGACTGTCGCTGCTTCAATTTGATTCCCTAGGTTTTTTCCGTACGTTAGGTTAAATCTCCATTGAGCTGTTGCTTCGCATTCGAAGATGATATGAGTGCTGTTTCTTCCTCCTCATTACATAATCTGCAAATGGGATCATCGTGGTATATGCCCATGTTGGGTAGATGTTTCCTCAGATGCCAGTGATCGGTCAGTAGTCCTACCACTCTTCTGAGTTTGGCCCTCTCCAATTGCAGCAATGCTTTTGCCAGTCTTGGTGAGGGTTGTTTCACCATACGTTTACTATGTCTAGCACTGCTAGAGTTTATCCACTTCTCCTTTTATTTTGTTTGGATCCATTATGCGATGGGAGATTCTATATTTGTTTTTGTTATCCCAAGTATAGGTTCAGGGCCTATGTATGGTATTGCAGATCCTCTGGCCAGACTGTCTGCTTTGTCGTTACCCAAAATTTCCTTGTGCCTTGGCACCCACGATATCATCAGGTTGTTGTGTTTCCCCAGGTTTTGGAAATTTTGGATCCATTCACTGACTAATTTTGATGTGATTCTTTTACATGCTAATGCTTTAATGGCTGCTTGGCTATCAATCTTATGAGGATTTTTTTTGCCAGTGTAACCTCTTTTAAGATTTTCCAGGGAACAAGCATTGATTGCATGTATTTCTGCTTGAAAGACCAAAGTGTACTTCCCTAATGAGTTTGACTGCTCATGTTTTGGGCTTGTACAGAAAACGCCTGATCCGGTTCCTTCGTTTGTTTTGGAGCCACCTTATCATTGTATCTAATTCTCTCCTGTGTTCTTTTTCCCCTTTGTAGTCCGTTGAGACTTTATAGGAAGTTGTGAAGAATGTTTTCGGGATCATATAATCAGTCCCCATTTCTAATAATGGGTGTCTGATTTTGTTGATTATGGTTGTATGCCGGAATTGTTTAGTTTCTTTCCAATTTAATTGTTTCTGGAGCTTAAGTAAGCTTTCTCCTTGTATGTTCAATTCAATGACAGCGAATGACAATTACTACTGTAAGCCATATTCGTCGTCGAAGTTTCATTAAAGACAACCACTGTAAAATAATGCCCTTTCTTAATTTTTTTTTCTCTGTAAATGCCCTTTTCAAAGGTATTTCTGCACCCTCAGGGAAAACTGGAAAGAAAAAAAAATTAGTTAAAAAAACTTTAAAAAAGATACATATCCTACAAAAGGGAATGGTAGCCTTCTCGGCTTATGCAAAATTATAAAATTAACTATTCTACAACAATTACACACAAAACAAATATGACACCTCAACACCACAAGAATAACACTGCACTTTATGCCCTGAAGATGACCCGAATGAAGGTCGAAACGTTGGCAAAAAACGAAAAAGTTGTTTTTTCTAAAATACTTCATTCCTGACCCTCCTCACTACTTCAACAAATCACTGAACAACCGGTCGCTAAATAACACACGTTGTACTGTCTACAGACTTACTGGAATGTAAACTAAACTAATTTAGCCAGAATTCGACTAATTCTGTTTTACACTGAGGGTGCAATTTAAACACCTGATTATCACTAATATTATCGACAATTGTGGAATTTGCATTCATATTAAAAAAGAAACTATATTATACAGTCAAACTTCTTACAACACGGGAATGGTATTTTGCCCGTTTATTCGAAGGTGTCCACATGGAAAAATTATTAAATTTTTAATTATAATATGACTTGATCTTTTCTTTGACAGTATTTTTTCGCACCTGCTAACATTTGTCTGAGAACTGGCCTGAAAGCGCCAAAGGCGTTCAAGATTTCACATAATCAACGTGTACAATGAAAATGTTTATGCTCAGAAAAAACCTGAGAAGTTGAAAGCCAAGTTGACCAAATCTATCTCCCACTACGCCTCCAGTTCCACGCGAAGAAAAAAAAAAGAACTGATAAACTACCTGCCCTCAAGGATAGCTTTTGGTAAACAGAAAAACCCTCACTGTAGCCAAGGTCTCTCTCTCTCTCTCATTGTATAATATATACCTTTTATTTTGTTATAAAGCCCTGTTCTTTTGGTAATTTCGGAAATAATTTAAAAAAATACTGCGGTGTAGTTGACAAAATTTCAGAATTTTCAAAGCTTGTTCGTGCTGAAAGAAAGAATCACGAAGATTGAATCAATAAATCTGTTTTCATTGTATATAAATTTAACTTCCCTTTTTTCCTTACTTCTTCATGTCCACATTCTGAGAATTGTCAGAGAACTATCATGTAAAATTTAACAATATTACAGAAGAAATGAAAGAATCCTTTACTCTATGTGAAGATTCAACTAAACTGACAATAACAATATAAGTTTCTTAATTATTATAATTTTAAAACACTGTTATTTTGGAATAGGTTGAAAATTGAAAATGTACACAACCATCAGCATAATCTAGAATCTCATTCAAGAAGTTAACAAAGCTAAAGCATAATTTATTTCAAATACATATCGAACCCATTGCTGACTGAAATAATTTTATTTAACATATTTTTGATTTAAAATTAGCCATAGATCTCGGATTTAATAAACAGGCTCTATGAATGAAAATTAACTTTATAACCTCGTCTGAAATTCTCGTTTTTTATGTTTTTCTTGTATTCTTGAGAATTTTGAGAATATAATTAATTGATTTTCTGCCTAAATGATCATTATTTATAGATTTTTTATTAATCATATGGCAGTATTGTTGTCGCTAATTAAATTTTGCTATTATTATTGTCATTATTGAAAAAATCGTGGAATGTTAAATAAATTGGGACAAAAGAATGGTGATCTAATAGCTAAATAATAATTTCACCCGACCGCATCTCACGATATCTGAATAACTAGCTAAATAATGTTTTTAAAGATTGGATTTCTTTTCTAGTAAAGGGGCCTAGTTTCTGCAGTATAAATAAATTTTGGTTCAGTAAAAATCAGAATTTATACGTTTTATTTTAAAAATAGGTCATTTTAGAATCCCGTCCAAATTGGAAAAGCCAGGAGAGGAGGGTCAGCTCAGGTAGCCTCAGGAAACGGTTATTAGCAAAGAAATTGCATTCTTTGACCTTTCCATTGTAACTTTCAAACAATTCGTTTAGAAGAATTCTACAACTTATAATATTATTATTAAGTCTTAAAAGTTAAAAGTTTGTTTAAAAAATAAAACGAGATTAGCATTGTTTATTAATATTGTTTCTTTATATATATGACCAGCTAATCCATTTAATAAATACGTATGGTTTATTTAAAAAAATGCACAGTTGGCATGATGAATATAATGAAGGATGACCGTTATAAAATTCTGTACCATCTTTATAAATTTAACTATTGACCACAATGGTAAAACATTTTTGTAGTATGGAGATAAAACAATTTCTCATGCCTTATCTAAGGAATTACTGATATGTTCGTTTTGAACTGATATTAAAAGTTCCTAATCCATTCTCTGGTATTGTTTTGTTGATAAGTACATACGTTTTAGAATGATTTAATTTGTTTATATATGTCAATATAACCAATGATAGATGTCCAGTAACATATAAGCGAGTTAAACTTCTGTCCTCATATATTTTTTAATTTTTGGCAAAATCTCGAGGCACGTGAATTTTTAGTTTTTGTCTTGTTTTTCATAAGCGATAAAGGTCTGATCAAACTCTAACTATATTTCAAATAGCAACATACCAATGTACATTTTTTGAAAGGTTGTTTGACGCTTAATTAAATGGTACAAACGGTTTTGAGTTTGGAGCAAACGTTCTTAAGTTGTTGCAAGTTCTTCACACCAAGAGACAATTTATTTATCATTTTAATTGATGGTATATTATATTGTAAAATAGTGTCAAGGTACAGAAATAAAAATTTCGGAACAAGTTCCTAAAAAAATATCCACTGATAGGAGTTAATGGAGAGAAAGTAAAAGCCCACCCTGCATTATTTGAAGTAAAATAACGTAGCTGCAGAGCTTCGTATTTATTCTATAGTATTTTAAGCACGTGGAACACAACACGTTCCTATTTATCCTTTTATTGTAATCCAAAAAACCCAAAAGATTGAACCCACAAATCGACAATCCAACTGTTTTAATTTATCAAACATAAATGCTTTTATCTAGATTTGTCATTTTTATTTCGTTATTTCAGTTGTACTTTTTACAAAAATAAAATTAATGGTCGGTTTATAGCTGCTAGTTATAAATCCAATAATTTTAAGTACGTGGAACTTAACAAGTTCATACTTTCTTTTCGTTGTAATCCAAAAATCCAGAAAATTGAACCCACAAATCCACATTTCTACCATTTTTTAATTCATCAAACTCAAATACTTTTATCTAGATGTGTACATTTGTATTTCGTTATTCTAGTTGAACTTTTAATAAAAATAAAATTAACGGTCGTTTTAAAGCTGGAAAGTGATAAATGATGTGATGATGTAATCCAAAAAGTTTGATCCCACAAATCCCATGTTCCATTCTAACCATTTTTTTAATTCATCAAACTCAAATACTTTTATGTAGATTTGTGCATTTTTATTTCGTTATTCCAGTTGTACTTTTTATAAAAATAAAATTAACGGTCGGTTAAAGCTGTTAGAAACTCAAGCTAACGTATGGGGGGCAGATGGTTTTCTTTTCACAGAGCGCTTTGTATCGATCCGTTGGTATTGTAGCAGATCTGTTGGCCCAGACACGAACTACAAACCGATTCATAGTGCGACCAATGAGAAAGGAACGTTGACCGTTAACTGCCAGTAGTGGGGGGCGTTGCATTCAGATAAAAGGTCGGCCGAGTTCTTCATCGTCAATACTTGCATTCAGCGCTTGGTAACAACATGCCACCAAAAGCTACTGGGAAAGCTATGAAGAAGGCCGGCAAGGCCCAGAAGAACATCGCCAAGACCGATAAGAAGAAAAAGAAGAGGAGGAAGGAATCCTACGCTATCTACATCTACAAGGTGTTGAAGCAAGTCCATCCTGATACCGGAGTCTCTTCTAAGGCGATGAGCATCATGAATTCTTTTGTCAACGACATCTTCGAAAGAATCGCCGCCGAAGCTTCACGACTCTCTCACTACAACAAGAGGTCGACCATCACTAGTCGGGAAATCCAGACCGCTGTCAGGCTTCTCCTTCCTGGTGAATTGGCCAAGCACGCCGTTTCTGAAGGAACCAAGGCTGTTACCAAGTATACCAGCTCCAAATAAACTGCATTTTTGCAGTTGACTCATTTCAACGGCCCTTTTCAGGGCCACCTCAATTCTTTCACTAATTTCAAAATAATCATCTTTCACCAAAACAACTCAACTACGGATAACAATAAATAAAAGTTAATAATATACGTTGACAAAAGAATTTTAGTTGTTTTTTTAAACTCCATCACTTCACCAATTTTTTTTATAGTTGGTTTATTCTGATATTCCGGTGTTTTGATTGATTTTCTACCACACCATTAAAATTAATTTTTTTAAAATAAAACTGAATTTTTGATGTCGGTTAATTTGGTTTATATTAAAATCAGTATGTTGTAATTAATATAACGACAGTAAGACATATAGTTTAAATAAAAATATGTGTGTCAGGTTCTTTTGTCTTGGACTGTGCTCGATGCGACCCAGCGAAAATCTGGACAGTTGGGATCGCAGAGTGTAGAGTAGGTTAGCATAGCATCGGGCAGATATGAGGGGTAATACAATCTTATGGAAAATTGGACTTTATTTACGCCGGGTAGCGTGTTCCCGGTTTTAGCCTCTCATTTTATTTAAGTTTCTTTCACTTTTTAGTACAAAAACATTTTTCTGCCTAGTGGTATTACTAAATTAAATAAATACTTGTTTGTCGTACTCCGTTAGGTTATGCCTCTAACATTTATTTATTTTATGAAATTGTAGTATTTTTGCCGTATACGCCACACAGGAATTCTGTAGACCTTAGTTGACTTAAAATTAGTTTTTTGTTTGTGTAGTCTAAACAGAAAACAAAGATTATCAGTGAGTACAATACTTCGATTGAGTCCTAAAATTTCTATCATTATCTAAATTCATCTCTTCTATCATTGTATGATTTTTTCACATCTTACATGTATTTCTATAATTTAAACAATGTTTATAAATCCTAGAGCCTGAAGATGATCTCAATAAAGATCGAAGGTTGGCACGATAAAAAAAATAAATGTTTTTCTAAACCTACGCCCCTCCAGACCGCATCTCACGATCTCAAAAAAAAAAGTAGATTCAAGGTCACTAAACACCACTTTTTTTTTATTTTAACGCCGCAAAACTGAAAGTACATTGGGTCTTTCTAGAGATTAATCCTACTAATGGGTATCGAACCCAAAAATATCAATGTTTCGCTATCTGATCATTTTTGCCCCTCTATTAAGCGATACTTATTATTATCCTATGAGCCAGAGAATACTTTTATATTTTTCAAGTAGGATACAAACATAAGTAAAATACATTTTAAAAACTTAAAATTATGTACTTGAAGAAAAATAATAACAAATCCATATATGTTTAGCCATAATTGACCATATTAATTATTTCAATTACTTATTATTTTTATCTAATGTCTTGGTCGAGGTGAAAGTTAGTATCATCCCGCTCGTGGCTCTAACTTTTTCATCCCAACCAAGACCTTAGATAAAAAGAATAATTAATTGTAATAGCATAATAGCAAAACTAAAAAACAGAGAGAATTTCAATAATTAATGTTAATAGTGAACAGAAAAAGTAAAAACCTCCCTTTTTTTCGATCATATATGATCAAATGTTCATATGTGCAAAGAAAAGTTTCCAGATTTACCGGGTTCCCTACCCTGTTACAAATTGTATAAAAATAGTAGAATACAAATTAACGTTTCACAACAATTTTACACAAAACCATAATAATAGCACAAGAATAGCACCACACTATACGTGAGTTTGAAATATATTTAATTAATAAGGGATGGGTACGAACCCAAAATCATCAATGTTTTAGTTCGGTATGGCTATCTTATCATATTTTCTTCTATTAGTTAAAAACAAATAAGTACTTTACATATTAATGAAAAAAATCCTTAAACCTATGTACTTAAAAAAAATTAACATCAAGCTAAAACAGCTAGAATTGCGAATAAACACACTAGTATTAACCAAATAAATTACAGACAACTGAACAATTAAAAAGGAAGAACAGTGAAAAGAAAACTTCCTTCTGATTGGTCATATGTGATCAAATTTTCATTTTATCATAGAAAATTTCCCAGATTTATCTCTTTCTCCACCCTGTCACAAATTATGTAAAAACGGCAGAAAACAAATTCAAATTTCACAACAGTATTACCCAAAAACGTGTTGAACACTTGCAACACGACAGATAAGAATGACACATCTACACAGAAAACACACTTTGCGCCCTGTAGATGATCTCAATAAGTTGGCACAATAATGAAAATGTTTTTCTAAACCTACATCACAGAAGACCTCATCTCACGATCTCCAAATAATATTTACTTAATATAAATAAGTATATTAGACGAGATCTTTCGGGCGTCCATTCTACATCACAATTGTAGCTGTGTTTTAAAACTAATGAGTTTGAAAATTAAAATGATTTGATAATCATGACCGTAGCAATAATGATCATGCATGAAAATTCAGTTCGTTTTTTTTCTTTTATTGTATTGTAGTTACCGTTAGGTATGATTTTTTTTGGGGGGGCGGTGGTAGGGTGATTGGGTGAGCAGATGTTCGTCCAGTTGTTATGGTGGGGAAGCTGCCGTCCAATTGGAACGGGCGCCCACTAGTATAAAAGGGGTGGGAATCCGACCCGTAGTTCATTCTGTCTTCTAACACTGTTGAAGCACACTATCGATAACATGTCTGGACGTGGCAAAGGAGGTAAAACTAAGGGAAAGGCAAAGACCAGGTCGTCTCGTGCCGGGCTTCAATTTCCCGTAGGAAGAATCCATCGTCTTTTGAGGAAAGGCAACTACGCCGAGAGGGTCGGTGCCGGTGCCCCCGTGTACCTTGCTGCCGTCATGGAATATCTGGCCGCTGAAGTTCTCGAGTTGGCAGGCAACGCAGCTCGTGATAACAAGAAGACCAGGATCATCCCTCGTCACCTCCAACTGGCGATCAGGAATGACGAAGAGTTGAACAAACTTCTCTCTGGCGTCACCATCGCCCAAGGTGGTGTACTTCCCAACATCCAGGCAGTCCTCCTCCCTAAGAAGACTGAAAAGAGCGCTTAATTCGCTTTCCGTCCTTATATTTCAACGGCCCTTTTAAGGGCCACTAAGTTTATCACTAAAATTCAAATTTAATGAATTGTTGTTCCGTTGTTCCATTCCCGCTTGATTTCTTTTTCAGCTTATTTTTTCATTTAAGCCAAAACCTTACATAAAAAGATTAATTAATTCAAATAAATGAATGTTACTTGACTTCCCTAAAATCAAAAGTTATTCAATATAATTTGTTGGAGTGGAGGGAGCAGTCAGGTCAATGGGTTTGGTTGGGTGTTCCTCTTCATGGCCTGGGTGAATAGAAAAATTGTGATTTGTAGAACAGCTACGATACAGATGTAAATATAAATTTCGAAACCAAGTATTTCATAATTCACATAAAGTGTGATGCAATCTTGTCTCATTTCTTACTACAGAATGTTTTCACAAAATTCAGTTATACGGTCAGGATCGTCTCATTTCCTTGCCAATTGTATTTTGTGAGATAATACTGTTGACGATGATTATTATTTTTTTAATGATGGATATTAGAAAGTATTTTTTCCCCTAGCACTGCAGCCTTCTTAACAAGCACTAGGTCATTGACTGTCGTTGTTACAATTCCTTTCCCAGAGTTTTCTTTCTATCCTAGGTTGTCTCCATTGAGCGGTTGCTTCGCATTCTGTCTGCAAATCCTTTAATGTGCCCATGTTTTTCAGTTATCCACTCCTCTGAGTCTTGCACTTTTCAACTGTAGCAGTGAGTTTGCTTATTTTATGTATTTAAACATATTTCCTTTCCACTTCGGGGCACTCCAGTATTCGTTGCAATTTCACGTCCAAGAAGGGTTATCGACGACACTTGTGAGGACAAGAAATTAGGATAGTTCCAAGGAGTCCTGGGTACGCCAGTTATGAATTTTTAGAGAGTTGATGAAGGAAACAATTTATTTATAATTTTAACTGATAGTGCGGTAGCTTATGGTCCCGAAAGATTTAAGGAATACATTTCTTCAATTAACATCGATGCTGTAGATATATCTCATTAATATGCGATTCAGCTGGTGCAAATTTCGGTTCCATTTTCCCAACAAGAGATCATCTCCAATTTATTTATTTTTATGATGAACAATCGTTAAAGCATCGTCTATACAATTATTCCTTAAATGTGCGGTGTCATAAGCAATTTACTATTAATGGAAATTATAAATAAATCAATAATTTTTTGGTTGAAGAAGTTGGAGATATTTTTTTTTGCAAATATCAACTTTAGAACTGTTACTCCAAATGAAAAACCGTTAAATTTAGCCTCAAAAACCTCTCCAAAATTGTTCAAAAGTAAATATTTATTAATTTGTTATACATTTAATTGAATTTTTTATAACAATTATTATTTTCGCCATAGTCAGAGAGTGATAGAAAAGGCGAAGTTTATTTTAATTTTCATAACAACACAGTATTTCAACATTATTAATATAAGTAAACATTTATTAATTTGTTATACATTGTAATTATGCTAAATGCAGTATTATTGAGAAAGCGCTTGCCGTCTGCTTAACCGATCCCACCACTATCGATCTTTCTAGCTAGAAGCGTTTTGGAGGGGAGAGAGTACCCAATAGGAGGAGGCTTCGTAGGTATAAATACTGGTTCGTCGGCTGTTCATGGCATTGTCAGTTTTGAACTCTCCATCATGACTGGTCGTGGCAAAGGAGGAAAAGGTTTGGGAAAAGGAGGCGCCAAGCGTCACAGGAAAGTACTCCGTGACAACATCCAGGGTATCACTAAGCCCGCTATCCGTCGTCTGGCTCGTCGTGGAGGAGTCAAGCGTATTTCTGGTCTGATTTACGAAGAGACTCGTGGTGTGTTAAAAGTCTTCTTGGAAAACGTCATCAGGGACGCTGTCACTTATACTGAGCACGCCAAGAGGAAGACCGTCACCGCTATGGACGTAGTCTATGCCTTGAAAAGACAAGGACGTACCCTTTACGGTTTCGGAGGTTAAACCTTACACTTCTGCCTTTCCAACTTTCAACGGCCCTTTTCAGGGCCACCAATTTTTCACTAATATGTCTAATTTTAGCTGTGATAGTAATGTTGCTGTAATACAACAAAATTTTGGTATACTTTAATTAAGTTTCTAACTTGCACATATGAGCAGTAAATTTTTTGGTTTTATTTTATTTCTCACTCCCAGCCAGCTCCGGAGGCTGGGACTCTCGAGTGAGCGGTGTGTTTGTGCGAGGAGAGAAAGGACTTCAATTTAATTTTATTAGAATGTTTTCTGTCCGTGTGGTTTTGTTATTCCGGATGTGTTTTGCTTCCTTTATTTATAAAACGTTTATAAATTTAATAATAAAAAATTAATTAAATAAAATTAGCCTTTATAAATTATTTTATGTTAATTATCCAAGGTCATGTTTCCGAAAAAAAAGATGGTGCCAAACTTTTTGGAAAAGTGCCACGGAAACACTTCCGCTGAGCACCAGCCAGGTGGTTGACAACATTTTGAGAGGAACTAAGTCGTAACGTCTTTTATTAAAGTATGCTACTGGGAAGAGAAAGAAAACACTTTACTTTCGTTTCAAGAAAAGCTTGCCACACTGGCATATTAGAGTGCTATAAACAGCAATGATTTATTGATTTCCACTTCTCTTCCGTTTTTCCTGATTGAATCTACTTCGATGATAGATTCAGGTAAACGTAAAGTGAACTTCTTCAGCTGATTTTTTTATTGATACCGTTGCATTTCGGAGCATTTTTTGTTCCCCTCTTTAGAGCTCGATGGAGTACAAAAAAAACAATTTTTTTCTTTTTATTATGATTGAATGTAAGATCGATAAATTAGATTAAATCCTTAAAAATACAATCCAATTTTTATTATGTAAATCAGTTCGCTATGTACAGCAAACACAATCTCAGGAAGGTAAAAACACTTCTTTTAATTGGTTTAAGTTAACTATATTGTAAAAAATTGATCTTTTTTTATTAACATTAAAAAATAGTCATGATAAAATTATTAATTTTATTTTGATTGAGAAATTTCACAAATAATGGAATATGTATAACCATTAGAGCTATCTGTTGGTATAGTTTTAACGTATTTCCAACTTCTACTCTGCGACCAATGAATATGTCGAATCACTTTGCGGCCAATAGGAATTCGGAATTTCAATGGCAAGGCGAGTGGTGGGGGTAATCAGGTTTGTTATAAATACGTTACGGGGCGTTCGTTCCTCATTCAGTCTTCTAGTTTCAACCATGGCACCGCCAAAAGCAACTGGAAAAGCGATGAAGAAGGCCGGCAAGGCCCAGAAGAACATCGCCAAGACCGATAAGAAGAAAAAGAAGAGGAGGAAGCAATCCTATGGTATCTACATTTACAAAGTGTTGAAGCAGGTCCATCCCGACACCGGTGTCTCTTCCAAGGCGATGAGCATCATGAACTCGTTCGTTAACGACATCTTCGAGAGGATCGCCGGTGAAGCTTCACGTCTCTCCCAGTACAACAAGAGGAAAACTATCACCAGTCGGGAAATCCAGACCGCTGTGAGGCTTCTTCTTCCCGGAGAATTGGCAAAGCACGCCGTTTCTGAAGGGACCAAGGCTGTTACTAAATATACCAGCGCTAAGTAAATTGTGCCTCTGCAATTGACTCATTTCAACGGCCCTTTTCAGGGCCACCAAAAGCTTTCACTAAAACGTTAATAAAAAAAAAATGTTTCTAATAATAACTATAAACATGTGTGGTGATTAGTGACCGTTAGTCGATAATTATTCAGATATCGTGGGATGCGGTCTGGTGTGACTTGGTTTAGAAAAACATTTTCTTTATCGTGCCAAAAGTATTAGTGTTAATAATTTGCTGGACAAATTTCTTTAACTTCTGAACAAGACGCATCGTATAAAGCTCACTTTTTTTAGACGCTTAAAAGTTATTGACTAGTATTTAAGTTTAAAAAAAAGCAAAGCGAAAATTTATTTTTTGATAGTATTTTGTTTCAATGCATAAAATAATCAAATGTTTAAAAAAAATGTATGTAGTTACAGTTTACTATTTATTTTAATAATCTGTTGAAGTCAGGAATGAATTATTTTTGATAAACATTTTTTTGCCGACGTTTCGACTTTTATTGTGGTCATTTTCAGGGCCTGGGTGACTTACAAAACATGTTGGTTGGGAAAAATAATTATACAATTCAAATGTAAATATAAATTTTGAACCTCGTATTTTGTACTAAGTGTGGTGCTATTCTTGTGGTATTATGTTTGTTTCGTGTTAAATTGTTGTAAAACGTACAATTTCTGTCGCCACAAGTATAGCACCACATTTTATGGGAGTTTAATCTGTATTGAATAATTATTTTTCCCGTCGTTACTCTGACAGGTCAAAACAGTAATGATAGGACTGACCAAAATAATCGTAAACGACAAAAATAGATATTCATCCGCAGACGTAAAGAAGAATTTTCTCAGTTTACTGTTTGCATTCTTTTAAAAAAAATCTATGAAAGTATTACATTACTTTAGTAGTTGATACTTTAGTAGTTAAATATATTAATAAAAACTAAAATTATCCCGGTCATATAGAATGGTTTTTAAATCCAATAGAGCTTTATGTTTTACAATAGTTTTTTGAATATTGGCGCTGTAAGCCAATCCAATTCTGTGGCCAATCAGACAACATGTGGCATTTTTCCTGCCTTCCTGTCTTTCAATGTCAACTGTTCTTCAGCTGTTATGGCTTAGTTTTTACCTGAGGTTTTTATAGCAAGAATAATGGGATCAGTTTGTTTTTTTTGCATCGCCGTTTGAGAATCCGCCATTTCTTTTTTTTTCTTATTCTTTTTTTTCTCTCTCCTTCGCAGCATGCGGAAGCCCGAAGGGGTAGGCAAGGCGCAGCCGGAAAGCGGGAGAATGCCCAAGCCTGCCTAAGGGGACCAGCACTCATACTTATTTATTTCTTTTTAGGGCCTATATACGGTTTCCATTTTCGGGGATGTGGATAAAAACCATTTACAACACCATGGAAAAGACCACATCCCCATAGAATCCGGGGCAAAACTGGGATCAGTTCTTACAATTATTGTCTTCAATATGTAGTAGTTGTACCTACATCCATTTCCTTCCTGGAATGTTAAAAGAAAGATCTTCTATGTTTGGTATTGCAGCCCTGTCAGACGTTGGGGACCACGAGATTACCCTAGTGTGGATACCAGGGCAACGGGAGGCCAATGGAATTTCAACGAGGATACCTATTTTCCCAGATTCCGGAATCAATCCAGTGTGATACCAGCATAAGATCCAGGTTCTAGGTCAGTACTCAATGTCTTCGATAGGTTACGGATGTAACAGAAAGACTAAAAAAGGACTAACAAATGACATGCTTCAATTCGTGCCTACTTACCTAACTTGTATCCTAAGTCTAACAGCCTACAACTTTATAAGATAGGGGATGTATTATGAATGAGAGTATAAGGACAGGTCGGAAATTAACAAAAGAAAAATATTGGTCTGATTTAATTAATGAGTATTTAAGATTAAAAATACGTGTAAACAAAAAAACAGCTGTTAAATTCATGGCTACTATGTTGGTTGCCTACTCGTCGTGTGCTTGCATCGGGCAGATGTGCACACCCTACCAAAACGTGGCAAGGCGTCGGATAGCGTCTCATTGCTAGCATCGGGTTACGGTGCCTTCCCTTTCCGTACCTGAGTCTCATAGTCCGTACCTTCTTTCCTACATAAAACTCAATTTTCATGAAAATAGGTGTAGACTAGTGTGCCACAAGTGTAAATTTTAATGTTTAATACGTTATTCGTGTCTGGTAGAAGATAGTATGTATGCTTTCTTTTTGTGTGTGTATGTATGATTATTTATTTCCTTTAGCTTTCAACCAATAGTGGCAATGTTTAAGAGTCGTTCGATGTAGTTTTTGAACATTTTTTAAAAAGGTGTTGAAGTCGTGAGGTAGTAGGGTCAAGAATGAGGTAGTTTAAAAATACGTCTTTTTCATTTTTTGCCGACGTTTCGACATTTATTCGGGTCAAAAAGATGACCCGGCAAAAAATGAAAAATGCTGTTTTTCTAAAATACCTCATTCTTGACCGCTCATCTCGAATTCAACAAATTATGAAACAACAGTTCACTAAAATAAAAACATTTTTAAAAGTTTTAAATATTAAAGACTTCATCGTACCTACCAAAAACATGTGAAAACTGAAACATTTCAAAGATAATTCTCACAGAAAGTACTCCATAGAAAAAACTACGACGCATTGAACATGGTATAATTGGTACATTGGTATAAACAAACCTTTGTTTCCCCTCGTCGTAGAGATAGTTTTTATCGGTTTTTATTGATTTGATCTGTGATCCAACTTTATTGTTATTTAAATTTTAAAATAAGTTAATTGTATATGTATATATATATATTCGGGAACGTACTGTGATAATTTGTACCTGAAAAACTAAAAAAAGGTGGATTTTATTGGTTTTTTAGACTTATATGAGATGCTGAGCCGGAAACAAAACAATGTACTTCTGTGCCCAAAACACCATGTTGTTTAATTTCCTATTAAGGTTTTAAAGCCCTGAAGATGACAGTATAAAACTGTCGAAAGCTCGGCGAAAACCGTAAGGAAGTTTTCTCTGTTTGACCTCTTCCGAAGATCCTCTGAAAAGACTTCTTGTATCCAGCAGGTCGATAATCTAGTTCATCGTTACATGAACGATTTTTCCAATTTTTTACGCTTTATAGTTTTGTTGATATGTGGTATAGCTTTTTCCCCTGATTATTTGCAATTTAATAACAATTTCAATTCAATAATAATTCATTTCAACCAAAACGTACATAAAAAGATTAATATAAAAAATTAATTTGGTCAATCATACCACTAGGTATAATTGATGTAATAATAATGCACGTTTTCGCTTTTTCGGCAAGTTTTGTTTTTGAAAAAGGGCATGGTGCAAAGTTGTAACGGTCGCGGCGTCACGTGTTGACCGTTTGCCCCACCATAAGCTTCCTCCCACTCCTCGCTTTAGGGTATAAATACTCACCCAGTCCCGTGCTGGTATCATTCGTTCTGAGAAGTTCATTCAGATCACACTACTATGGCACGTACGAAGCAGACAGCACGTAAATCCACCGGAGGAAAAGCCCCGAGGAAACAGCTTGCTACCAAGGCAGCCAGGAAATCGGCCCCGGCCACCGGAGGAGTAAAGAAGCCCCATCGTTACAGGCCCGGAACCGTCGCCCTTAGGGAAATCCGTCGGTACCAGAAGAGCACTGAGCTCCTCGTCAGGAAACTCCCGTTCCAGAGGTTGGTCAGGGAAATCGCTCAGGACTTCAAGACCGACTTGCGTTTCCAGAGCTCTGCGGTCATGGCCCTTCAAGAAGCTTCTGAAGCCTACTTGGTCGGTCTCTTTGAAGACACCAACTTGTGCGCCATCCACGCCAAGAGAGTCACTATCATGCCTAAAGACATCCAGCTTGCCAGGCGTATCCGTGGGGAACGTGCTTAAGCTGTTTTCCTGCCAAATTTCAACGGCCCTTTTCAGGGCCACAAAATATTTTCACTAATATAAATAACAAGTTAACATACATCGTTATCGTAAAAATAAGTAATATATCTGTAAAAATCCCAAACATGTACCAATTTTAAATAACAACATGTCGATTTCAAAAAAAATATTACACAGAACAAAATTGTTATGGATTAATCTACAGTGGAACATCGATAATAAACCCTTGCATGAAGTGTGAAAGGGAAAATAAGAAAAGACCATCCTTAAATAGGTTAGTCACTCAGTGTACTGTTAGGCCGTCAAGCTAGACGAAATTTTCTGAACCCAGAAAGACAACTGGAACAGAAGTATGCACTTTGAACATGACGAGGCATTTATTTTGAAAAAAAAATTTAAGAGTTGAACCGGGACAAGGTAACTGAATAACTTTCCTTTTATAATTTCGTTCCTCACTGAAGATGGCGCATGCTGAAACGAATTTGATAAATAATTAAATTAAAAAAACCCTGTTCACTTGTAACTTCTACTTGAATTTTCACTTCTTTTTTCTCACAGAGAACACATGTTGACCAGGTACTGGTGTCGATTTACACATTCAGATCTCGATGTCACTTAAACGCGTTTCGCTTTCCGCAATCTTAAGTACCAATAGTTGTAGTTTGGTTATAGTTTCTGGGTTCGAAACCCAGCAGAGCACATTGGTTTTTAATTGTGAATAACATGAAAAAGTATTGCAAAGTTGTTTGGCCCTTCGCCCGCGACACCCACCGAGTAGTTAGTCGTTGAGCCTTCCTGTACGACAGGAATTCCTGATTTTTATACTAGTTACTAACAGTTGAGTTACATTTTGTATGACGTTTTCTAAAGCCAGTTAGGATTTTAACTGGAATAGCGGAAATTTTTGATATAATTTGGACATTTATTAACATTGAAGAGCATTCATTTTGAAAAAAAAAATTAAAGTTGATGATGGGTGTTAGTCTGCGGATTGAACACATGTTGACCGTCTCAGGGTCTGTCTCCACTTGCGGTTTTTTTAGCCATTCAAATGTATTACGGCATTGCGTCATCTTCAGTGAGGAACTTTCCATTTATATTTCGTCCTCAATGAAGATGGCGCATGCCGAAACGCGTTCGAATAACAAAAAAAAACCCGGTTCAATATGAATTTTTCACTTCCTCTCTGATTTCTCAGAGTACACATGCTGACCGGTACGGAGTCGATTTATTCAGATCTCGATGTGACTCAAACGCGTTTCCGCTCTGCGCCATCTTCAGTGAGTTACTTCAACATGTGCATACCTGAGCTTACATAATCTATAATACCATATACTTATACATATTTTTTTAATTGCCCGTTTATTAAATTTAAAATAATAAAAGAATCGAATTAACAATCCGAATAATTTTGATCGATACAGCCGGTCGAGAGTTGAGTAGGTTCTTCCAGATTGAAGTGTGATTTCTGTCAGATTTGAAATGCATTTTTTTGTCGAATCTGTAAGTAATTAAAATAAGTTTTTACTCAGGAATTTACGGAAATGAATGTTCCCGTTGTTTTCATCGACTTGACCTTGGAGGAGCAAGCGATAGAGCTCCGTGTCTATTTTCGCTCCCTCGGGGCCGAAATATCCGAATCCAAAAGTCAAAAGGGTATAGAAGACGATTTGCATAAGATCATAAGTGTTTGCGACACATGCTTCAAAGAGGGATCCGAGTCGGAAATCGAAAGCGTGCTAAATTCCATTGTATCGATGCTTGTGTTGATTCCTCCGGACAGGACTGAAAACCTCATCCTGGCTTTCAGCGAAAAACTGACTAAAGCCAAAGGCCAAATGTTGGGGCATGTGACGCTCAGGGTGCTCTGGTTGCTATTTCAGAGCTTGGACGAGAGAAGTCCGATGCGGTATCATGTTTATTACCACCTGGTTCAAATCGCAAAACAGGTCGACATGGTGAAAGCGATATTCACGAGTATCGACGAGCTCAAGCAACAGCTCATGGCTTGTCCTCCGACAACTGAACAGATGCAGAAATTACTCCGACTTCTCCATGAAGTGCTTCTTAGTTGCAGAGAAAGTGAGCTAGCAGCTAAAGTTATGATGGAACTGCTCGGCACGTACACATCTGAAAATGCATCTGACGCTAGAGAAGATGCAAGGATGTGCATTATTTCCGCCTTGGCAGACCCGAATACATTTCTACTTGATCCTCTTCTTTCGCTTAAACCAGTACGCTTTCTTGAAGGCGAACTTATTCACGACCTGCTCACTGTCTTCGTTTCCGAAAAGCTCATGGATTACATAAACTTCTACAAAGACCACAAGGAGTTTGTACAAGAGTTGGGCCTCGACCACGAAGCCAATTTGAAAAAAATGCGCCTACTTACGTTTATGCAACTTGGCGAGAGTTGCCCTGATATGTCTTTTGATATGATCACATCCGAACTTATGATCCCAGAGGATGAAGTTGAGAGTTTTGTAATCGACGTGCTCAAGACTAAATTGGTAAGGGCGAGGATGGACAGAGCAGCAAGAAAAGTGCACATATCGAGCACCATGCACAGGACTTTTGGACCCGAGCAATGGGAGTCGCTCAGGCACACTCTTCAGAATTGGAAGGCCAACCTCAAATCTATTCAATATGGAATGGCTTCTGTCGTCGACCGAATCCAGCAGCATGGATGAAGTAGTGGTATTTTTTTAATTGTGTTTAGTCACAATTATATTGTGTGTTACCTAAATTTTTTATGTGATTTATAATTATATATTGTATTTATTGGATAAAGCTAAACATAGTTTTTAGTTGACTTTTTTTATACAGAAACAACCCACCAAAAAATTAGTTATAAAATTAATATTCCATTACATCAATATAATAGTTATTTTTAGCCATCACTGAAGATGGCTCGAAGCGGAAATGCAATTGAGTGCAGGGAGATTCAGTGATGGTTCAACATGTGTTCACCGACTGTCAGACCAACAAACATCTGACATGAATAGTTATGAAGTTGCTATTGCTTCTTATTTTTGTTTAACTAAACACAACAGTAATATTTATCTATAAACTTGTGCTAGTTTTTGATTATTGATTTATAAAGTTAGCTGTGTACGTGCATGTATGTGTGCAGAGCCAATCCTATCACTTCTTACAGTCCGCCAGCAATTCCAGCTTTGATGTAATTTACAATAAATTATCACCTGAACTCGAGAATCACCCAACCGATGGTTGGTAGTGCGGGGCAGACCTCTGTTTTTCCCATCCAGCCGCAGAGGTTGAGCTCCATCTGGTGTCAACAGCTGCATCATTTCAGCCCCCAATACAATCAGTTCCTAAATCCAAACCCATTCTCTTTTAAATACATTATTTCCTATTTACATACTTCACTCAAGGTGGTGGTTCATTCAATATTCCTCCATATTTTACACCTAATAACTAACCTGAGGGACGATGGGGTACTCAATATTCCATCATCTCACACTACATATATTCACACCAATAAATACATTCACTTACACATGCTATGTGCATAAAACTACCAGTATTGGTGCGATAAAACAACTTTTTCCTCTAATAATCAGTACAGGGGACCCAAATTACTCACAATTATTGAACACATATTAGGAGGCATTCTTATACACAATCTATATGGATCGAAGGAATGGCACCCTTGAATTAAGTGGGACAGAATCTTTTTGTTCATGCACTAGTGCTAGTTAAAAAGCAGTGAAATAAACTCATTTTTTTGTCATTAATTTATTTTCGTACCAAAGTTACAAAATATCTTATTTGGAATATAAATATTTAGATTTAAAAAAGAGTACATGTCGAGTGTGTGGATGAGTAGAAAAGTGTGTGTCAACTCTACCAGACCCATTTTTCTAAGGTTGGAGTGAATTCCCATTTGTCACCTTGGCCATAATGAGGGATACTTTTAAGAGAAGTCTTTGACCATTGGAAAGGTGCAACCTTAACAGTGTCGGAATATTCTGTATAAGGAGGACCCGCTGCTGCTTTAAATGCAGCATGACCAAGTGATATTTTGAGATCTATCAGACCATCGTATTCTCTAAATGAATCATTTGGGTCTTCATTTATCGCATGTACCCTGTGGACCTTGTTTCCTGTGCTTGGCCAACGTATGTCTTTTAATCTATCATTTGGCCCTTTCCCGTTGATCATACCGTTAAACATGTCTTGAAATCCCTTGTTGTGGACGTCAAGGTCATGATCGCCTTTGGCACTCTCTTCAGAAACCTGGTTAGCTACAAAATGAGCATGACTTTGATTCTTGATTTTGTGCGGGTTGTAATGGACAGAAAAGCCTGTGTCATCAACCATCTGGTATGTCATGTCACCGGTGATATTTAAAACAAATATATCACTCCTTCCTAAAGCTGTTATTTCTGGATGCCTCATAAGCTTCACCATGGTTTCTTCATCCACTACATCCTTTTGTCCTTTGCTAAGAACATCTAAGACTATTTTCATTCTATTGACCATGTATACTCCATCGCCTTCTTCATCATACCCTGACACGTTTCTCACCTCCTAAAATCATTTTTGTTTATTGAAGAAAGAAAATCTTTTTAATATATTTACAAAGTAGTAGGAAAAAACAACCAACCTCAAAATATGGCACTCCGTAGCTGACCCAGTATGAATAGTTGTACCAAATTTTTGACATGTCCCTTGAAACCGTTATACCTGGCATTTGCTCCAAGACCCACAGCTTTGGCATCCCCTGAACTGTTTCCACAACGAGCCATTGCTTGTTACCAGTGCCGCTATGATTCCTTGACATAATTTTCGTCCATGTTTTTGCATTCTTGGATAATCTATTGGCAGCAACTACCCTCGGTCCCAACATAAGCTGAAATATCGAACAGATTTACATAATGCAGACTAAAATTTCTATTAGTTTAATTTACTTGAAGCCTGATGCAAAAATTCCCTTACTCATTAAATTTTGACAATGCAAACTCAATTTCATAAGTTATGAACTGTGTCTATGAAGTGTACCGAATAGCTTCATTGGTTTGATTTTCTACAAAACACATTTGGGAATACGTATGCTTATTATTCAAAGGCTCTTGTTATTACTAGTAATAGCTAATAGAATAACTTTTAAAATATATTTTAAATGTGTTAGGGTTGTATCAAACAAACATACATTTTCAAGGTTGACTTTATCCCATAAAGAGTTGTTGTAATTTTTGATTGACGACCCAGCAATCGTCAGGTTGTTTTTGCCCAGGACGTGATAGAAGTCATCCTGCGAGTAAAGCGAACCGGGGTATGAGGTGAAAATTGTAGTGTTACCCGGTACGAGCAAGCTGTCTGAATGAGAGGTGTAATGAAAATTAAAGCTGTACTTCTTCTGTACCCTGAGCATTTCACTGTAACTGAATCAAAAGCTGGTCACACAATCGCATCTCCAAAACGGTCAAAATTTAAAAAATACAAATTCAGTTGTACTTAGGCACTTACTATCCAGCTGCTTCGTGGGCTAAAATAAAATTTGGCATGGAATTGGGCAAGTATTTGAGAAGAGCTATCGAATTGGCTGGACTTGCGGGATCGTAAGATTTGGTCACATTGTACTGAAATTCCAAATCTCGCAGATCACTGGCACTATTCATCCATCTTGAAAAATTAAAACATAATCAAACATAGTTTATTTGCTTAATAATGATAATAACAGTACTTAACACTAATCTCACCAAATGTCCTATGTTGCCCATAAAACAAAAAGTATATAAATACAGATAGTGTTTTAAGTTGTTGGCTGTTTTTATTGTATTTATTTTGAATTAAAATTCAGCGATTAATTACTTTGTTTAATTTTTTCTTTGTCAATCAAGAACTTGTAATATCTTACACAGAAAGATTGAAAAATATTAGTAGATCATTTACATCTTACTCATTTCAAAATTATCTTTATTTTTATAACCCATAAATGACTATTATTTATTTTTAATAATATGATTGACATACTTACATAAAGTCTACATGGGGAATGTTAAAAATTTTTTCTTTCCTGCTCCTAGATACACCATTCTTCCAACCTTCTTCTAATCCAGCAAGTTGTGTATAAAACATGTTAACCTAACACATAATTTATTTAGATAACTCTCTTCTAATTTTATGTATAATAATGATTAATTACTTGATGCCAGTAAGCATCAGTTGCATCTTTGATCTTTGCTTCCGCTTTCATTTTCTCAGCGTTCTCAAGCACCTTCCTTCTTATTTTATCACAGAATTCCTCCCTGTTTTTACATGTGTTTGCGACAGTGTTTTGCCAATGCCAGTAAATCATCCTCCAGCACAGACTACCTTCTAGCAGGCCTGCTGCATAAGCTTGTACCCAGTCTGGATAAGATGGTGTAGTCTGGATTTCTAAAGTAGCCCATCTTAAAAAGTCAATTTTTTAAAGATTTTTATTAAGTAAGAAATTAATGATGATTTCATACCCTGTGTGAGAGGAGTCCTCTCTATAATAAGCCCTTGCGACCCCTGGACTAATTTGTGTTGGGTCATTATTCTGACCCCAGTACCTCACACGGAAGTTAGAGCCTTGCTTCCAATAAACAGTCGCTGCATAAAACCCATCGTTTTTAGTTCTAAATAGAAAATAAAACAATAAATAAATGCAAAATTAAATAAACGCATTAAAAAAATTACAGAAAAGGCCTGAAGTACCAGATAACTAGAAAAGTTCTTTGGGTTTAAAATGTTAAATAATTGTCATACTTAAACTTAGTTTAAAAATATTTTATTTGGGAAAATAGTCTCCATCAGCATTTTGCCTTCTCCCGATGAATTATTAGACCAGTTATGCCCTTATAAAAGTTTACATCCTGTGATTTAAATATAAATTCAGCTCATTATCCAGGTGTTTGCGGTTATTGAACTTCCGATTGCATATATGAATGTCCATTTGCAAGAAAAGGTGAAATAAATTCGGGGCCAGGACTGGAGTATGGAAGGTGTGGTAGGATTCCCAACCTAGCTTTTTATTATCACCTCCTATGTCATTCTGCCTGTATGAGGTCTTATATTGTCCTCGTGAAAAATTACACAAGAACAGGTCTTTTCTGGGTCAAGTCAAGGGATAATTGTTGCAGTTGGCTTGAGTATATTTCTGTAGTGGTGGTTTGACCGAGTGGCAGGAGTTCATACCCCATCAAACACAAACCATCACCTTTTGTTGGTGAATATTTCCTTTTGTATCAATGGGACAGGTTCGTTTAGTAACAGCCAATGGTACGACCTGGCGTTACTGAGCAAGGTCTATTTTTCATCGCAATGCAGTCAAAAAATCTTTACTTTGGGCCTTGAAAGCAGTGAATGGCAAATGTTAAGAACCTGAAGTTTGTTACCATCGGTCAATTTATGAGGAGCCCATTTGCTAAGCTTCCACGTCGTCCCAAGTCGATGTAAGATAGAGATAGATAGAGAGAATAGTTTTATCACTTGCATTGAACAAGAAATAACTTCTAGCAAGTCCCTGTCATGTTTGGTTTGATTCAAGTTCGATAACTTCCCTCAATTTGTCATCATTCAAGACAGAAGGTCTACCAGACCATGGTTCGTCTTCAATCCCCTAATTCCCAGAAGCAAACTTTTTGAACCACTTTTGGGCAGTGTGCTCACTTATTGTTTCATCACCGAATGCAGTGAAAATTTTATGAGCTGTCTCGGCCACTCTAATAACAAGTGTAAATTTATACAAAAAGCACACAAAAATTATGGGTTTTGAAGCCTTGAGAAGAAGAAATATTTTATAATTTACTGTGAAATATTCAAGACACTTGATTAACAATAATTAAAACAATAAAAAATGAAAATTGCATAAACTTTTCTGGCTACGTGATAATTCCTGACATACGGTAGGCTTAACTCCATTCATTGTTTATTCAGTCATATCATTTTTTTGTTTCTTTACAATGGATACCAGGAACTGGGGAGGTCCCTCCCCGTGAGCACTGCAGCTGTACAGCTTATTGTACTTTATTCCTGGTTTCATGTTTTGGGAGCTCACAACACATGTGTGAATTGAGCCCTTGGTGTGCCAGAGTTCTTCCATCGAAGAAACCCATTTTTCAAGGGGTTGGGACCAAATTCATGGTTGCTGAGATCCGATCCCACTCCAGACCTTCTATTGATGAGTGCCGTGTCAATTTTTTTCAATTGCTGTCAGCAGTCCTCTTAGGCATCAGAAAAAAGTCCAGAGGCGATGGTGGGGATCGAACCCTCAACCGCGGGATCTTCTAACTAAGAGTCTGACACCTTAACAACTCGGCTACCGCGGCCCCACTGTCATACTGATATACTCAAATAAAATTAATTTAATAATGACGGAAACTAATAACATATATTATTTACAATGAGAAAAACTTGTTCTCAGTACCCAGAAAAGATAGAATTTTATCTTAAAAGTGCATAGTTCAAGTCAATGTAACTTTAAATAGCCATTCAATTTCTATAAATTACACTGATGTTATATAAATTTTACTGTTAGGGTAAAAAAATTTATCAGTAGAATAAATCTTTCAAATTTATATTTTGGATACATAAATTAATTTATAATGGAAACAACTTATACACTTGTTAACAAATGTTATATTAAAGGAAACAAGTTAACTTATTGTCTATTGTTATACTAATCGACTAAACAACTTTACATTTGAACCTGAAAACAATTGAAATTAGTATTTTATATGATAATGCAATATAGGGAACCAAGCAAAAATAGCGTGTAACTATTTTTTTGCAAATGGCTTAGGAAACGACTGAATCAGTTTTAAACTTAAGATTGAAATAGAAATGATTCCAATGGCAAAAGGTCGGAGAGATAGTGTTGGCTTAGATTTGTCTATTTATAGAGAAAGAATGCAGTCAAAAAGAGTCAGCAGTGAACTGTTAAATGTTGAACATCCCAAAGGTCAAGGCGCCTCGAGGAAGAACACACAGTAAATAAATAGAAATAAATTTTGTTGTCAAATGAAATGGGAAAAAGAAAGAATAGAAGACGACTCACACAGGAATTTCATAGAAGAATATTGCGATCACAGCCATGATGCCAACAACCCCCAAGAGGAAAAACGTCAACCTGGTCTGCTCCCAAGAAGCTCCGACTACTTTTAGCATGGCCATTCAAGATGTGTGTCTTCACTGAAAAATTTAAAAATTAAACTGTTTTTCTGATATTTTGAAAACAGACAAATGTACTTATTATAAATTATCATTAAAAAATAAAATATATAAACGTTAAAAGTTTTAAAAAGATTTTTATATTTTGTCATTATGTTCATTCAGTGGAAGGCGTGAAGCCAGAAGTTTGATATTTTAGACTGGCTTGGATTTTCGGTCAGTTTAAATTTCATCACTTTGTATATGTGAGGAGGAACTGTATTGGGATGATAGTTTTCAGTGAATACTGAACAGGGAATGGGGGATGGTAATGAAGTTACTAGGAAGTGGAGTTGTGCTCCCCAGGCACTGCAGCCTTTTGGTTTATTGTACCTTCCAAGTTCCCTCGATCGACTCAATACATCTTCTTAGAAGTATTAGGTCATTGACATACTGCTACAATTTCATTCCCTAGGTTTTTTGTGTACGCAAGGTTATGTCTCCATTGAGCTGTTGCTTTGCATTCAAAGTTGATACGGGTGGCTGTTTCTCCTCCTCATTGCATAATCTGCAAATTGGATCATCGTTGCATCTGCCCATGTTATGTAGATGTTTTCTCAGATGCCAGTGACTAGTCCTATCGCTCCTCTGAATATGGCCCTCTCCAACTACAGCAGTGAGTTTGCTAGTCTTGGTGGCGGTTGTTTTAGAATAAGTTTACTGTGTCTAGTATCCCAAAAGTTTATCAACTTCTTTTGTTTTATTTGGATCCACTCTGTGATGGAAGGAGTAGAGAATGGGACCAATGATGCTGCCTTGAGGAACACTCATCGCAGCATACTGGATAGGAGGGAAGGCGGAGGTGATTTGCTGGGATTTGATCCTCTATCTCTTGAACCATTCTTTCAAACAGGAGAAATTGTCCTGGAGGTTTCTGAAAGCCACTACCTGGTCTGGATTTGATGAAAGGATTACGGTATCATTTGCACATGTGGATAATGTGACAGTATTGATATCAATGTCTACAGTTACACTGATTTCATATGATACATATACATATGTGTATGTAGTATATACTGATAGGATCAAGGATGCTGCTTTGCAAAACACCTGCTTCAGCAGTGGGTGTGGGGGAAGGATGTTCAGATGAAAGTACTTATCGGACAGGTAGGATTTTAGAAAAAGGTAATAAGTGAATGGGGTAGAGTGAGGTCACCTGAACCATATATAGGGGCTTCAGGAGTAAGTAATGACAACCTACCGATGAGGCCATATTTATTTTCAGACGAGTTAATCTTTCATGTTCGAATTTCAAATACAAAGCAAAAAGGTACAGAACTAGGAACACAAAGTTTAAAAGTACAATTAACTCCCTGTCCAACAAATTTCATTCATAGATTTTTGCGCGATTATAGATAAAATCATATTTATCACCACACATGATAGATAAAGTATATTTAAATGGCGTCCAACTTGTTGCGCAATGTTTAGTGTCAAATACTGATTTTTAACCGATAAATTGTCCTTTTCTGAGATTGTTTTTTTCCAAACAATTGTGAAATCACACAACGGAATAATTTCGTTTAGACTAGAAGGGAAAAACACGACAAGGACGTAAGAGTTAAGAAAATTTTAACAACGACAACAATAATTATACCCAAAATTTGGACTGATGGTTTATAATAAAAACTTATTTATAAGTAAAATGTTTTACTAATTTATATATTTACTACTTTTTTAGACAGAAATGAAAAACTGATTTTATCTGTTTATCTAAGTCGATGTTCCTCGGATTTCTGTATTGATATAGTAACGGTAATAATAAAAGCCAATTTTAAACAGAAATGAAGAGAATGGTTCTTTTTTACGTAAGTAACAATGAGAAAAATCAAATTTCACGTGTATACAGTATGTAGTGATTGCCTAAGTAAATGTTAATTTCTAAAGGTATACATATACGTTAGAATTATACTGCAGTACTGCTGCAGTGAAAGAAATGGGGAAAAAATAAAAAATAATTGTAACGTTTTACATTTTAAAATAATAATCCCAATGCTACACAAAAAAAAGTACAAAGTTCATACAAACTAGAAATAAAATAATTATACCGAATATTTCCGACACGTCCCCTTCAACATCTCTAGAACGAATGTCCCTGGCTAGGGAAATTATCGGATATATGGCCAAAGGTCAGAAAATAATAACAAACTTTAATCAAAACAGGCAAAAATGCCGAAGGAAATGCCGTCCCCGAAGAAACCGCTTTTCTGTGATGATTCGACGACTGGGACGATGCCAACTATTTCATTCACTACGTGGGAAATAAAAAAGGAAATGCGAATTTTCAAATTCACCTTTAAAACGCCGACTGTGTGTTTCCAATGACAAGACAAGTGTTAAAATCGTACTTTTCCATGTGTGTTTGCTCTAATTGTTTCACTAAAATCGAACGACGCCCTACCCTTTTTATTAATTGAACTGCTTATATCCTCCCAACTCTTCTTCACAGTTGGGAGATAAGTAATTGTAAAGCAATTAACATAAAAAACCAATGTAAAAGGCATTTTAATAAATTTTTCCAATCTTCAAATCTTTGTTTTTTATACTTTTGATAATACTGTTCAGAAGTGAATAAATCAATGATGAAATGTCATGTTGATATAAGTGGGCTTATCATTTCAATAGACCAAAACCGTATATACAAATTTCTTATAATTTTCCTTTCTTTCCTTCTATTCAACACGATTGATAGATAGATAGATTTTAAATCGAAATTCTTACCGAATTGTACGATTTAATTTATAGTTTTCCGCAGTTTGATGCATATTCTGTTATTATAAACACACTCACACACACGGTGGTGGCCCATGTAGATTGACATACAATACAGACAGAAATTGACGCAGACAAATATAAGAATACAGGGAGTCAAAGAGAGTAGAAACACATGGATGGACAAAACTATGGGTATATCTTGTACGTATGTAAGTAAATTAATAAATAGAAATAGTGAAATAGAAGAAAATAAAATAAAAATATATATACTTAGATAGATAAAAGAGAGATAGATAGGCAAACACAATGGAATAGATAAGTGAACAGTTAGAAAAAAGAAAAGCGGATAAATAAATAGAGGTACATATAGATTGGTAGATAGATGAAGATAGAGATAGATAGATAAAAGAAAGATAAATAGGCAAACAAAGTTGAATAGATAAGTGAACAGTTAGAAAAAAGAAAAACGGATAAATAAATATAAGTAGGAATAGATTGGTAGATAAATAGAGATACAGATTAGATACATAGATAAAAGAGAGATTAAAAAAACCAGCAAAGTTGAATAGATAAGTGAATAGTTACAAAAAATAAAAACGGATAAATAAATAGAGGTAGATATAGATTGGCAGATAGATAGAGATAGATAAAAGAGAGAAATAGACCAACAAAGTTGAATACATAAGTGGATAGTTAGAAAAAAGAAAAACGGATAAATAAATAGAGGTAGATATAGATTGGCATACAGATAATAAAGAGAGTAAGTGACTGAGAGTGGGATTCAGATAAAGATGTAAGAGACATCATAATAATTTAATAATAAACAATGCTTTATTCAGAATATAAAAATAAAGTAAAATTACACCATATACGATTTGCGACATTAATTAGAGAAAGGTTCCGTGATCCGTCTGCCAAATATGTAGATGGAGATATATAAAGATAGGTAGGACGAACGAAAGAGAGAGAGAGAAAGAGAAAAATATAGAGGGTGAAGGGGAAAGAAAGAGAGGGGGGAGAAGAGTTAACGAGAGTGAGAGCCAAACATAGATATATATACAAAATAGGTGGTGCCTTAAAGCTAGAATTTACAATAGAATTTTTGAATTTTTAATAGCTAGAAATTTTTAGCTAGAAAGAAATTGAGAAAAGTACAGATAGTCAAGAAATAGGTAGGTATAAGACTATATAATATATAAAAATTTTACTATCTTGTACAATTTAATTGATGATTTTCCTCAGTAATCCATGTTCTGTTACTACTGACTCATAAATAAAAGTTCACAGGGTAGCCGATATATATAATATATCACAAACGTGTTTTATTCTTTAAAAGATCGTTGTTCAAATGTGTGTGCGTGCGCGTGCACGCGCGCGATACTTTTGAAAAACTGGAAAATATAACTAAAATCATACCTAATGATGAAAGAGGTCGCAAGAAGATCGAAGGCAATAAAGATAGAACATAATTGTCATAAAATGAACCGTACCATAGCTCAGAACAGAGAATACAGAATAGGATCTTCAAATTTCAAAATCATCAATTCCAATTCGATCTGTAATGAAATTCAACTAGTGCGTTACAAAATTAACACTGATGACATACTGTTCTGATCTTCTTTATATCTTTGATAGAAGACAAATTAATTAAGTCTTATCGACTAGGCACTTAAAAATAAAAACATTTTGAGATTAATTAGATTGTCCGCGCGTTTAATTGTTTAAAAAAATTGTAGATAAACCCTTACCTTAAACTACGGAGATACTTCAGCCCATTGAGCGTTGTTCTGTCGAGGATCCTTGGATGCCCACCACCAGGTGAAGTTGGCTACCACTGGTGTCGGTCCTGAAAAAACCCAACAAATTCATTAATGAAGTGATAACATAGCCAAACCGGAATAGATTAAAAGAGAACAGTACGCTTTCAAGCATAAATGAAAAGCGTGACTGGACGAGGCTTGTTCGTTGACGACTAGAACGTTCTAGAGCTTTGTTTTGGCTATGAGAGCCCGTGGTCGTTTTGCCAGGTTGGCCGAACTAATGAATCTATAAATTGATACGGCAACAAACAAATGTATAAAATAGCGTTTCATTTTGTTTATCGTGGTTACGTTTTTTCACCAGAGACTAAAGGAGGCTTATTTTGGACTGAAAGAAGCTGTTTTAAAGAGCGGCAAATTTTTAGCATGAACATTTCAACGTTCTTGATTCCTAAACCTTTTGATTTGAGTGCGAACCCAATCTGGGAGCATCGTCCTGTTTGTTGAAAAAGCTCTCATGTTATTTGGGTTCGCGTTTGAATCTGGCCGCTTTGAAATTTCACTTGGTTACTGCACGAAAATGTAAATTACGAAGCTGGAAGTCACTCTTCATTTTATATCAAGTTTAAATAATTTATCCATCGGCCTCATTCCAAAATTGCAAAATAGACGTAGCCACAAAAAAAAGAAATAAATAAAAATCCATCTATATCCATCCGTATTGGTATATCTATCTCTATCTATATATCGAACTCTGGTCACCTTTATCTACCAAGCTATCGTCTAATTTCTTTCTCTCTCTCTCTTTCTCTCTCTCTCACTCACTCACTCTCTCTCTCTCTCTCTCTCACTCTCTCTCTCACTCACTCTCTCTCTCTCTCTCTCTCTCTCTCTCTCTCTCTCACTCACTCTCTCTCTTCCTCTTTTTAACTGTAGCCATCTATTTATCTGTCTATCTATCTATTTATCCAACCTTATATCTCTCAATCTACTTATCAATCTGTTTATTTTTCTTTATATCTATCTAAATATCTAGCTACTTATTTATCTATCTACAATACTTATACATATAGCTATTTTACTTTTTCGTCTTTCTCTTTCTATCAGCCTGTCTCTTTTTTTATGTCCGTTGTTAATGCTCTGTTACTACTTGTCTTTCTATACAACACCTAACATAAAAATAAGCAAGTTATTAAAGTTGTGTTTACGTTTTTAAGACATTTATTATGTTTATACCTAGTTATTATGTAATAAACAAATAAATAGAAGTGCGGTTTTTTGCCTTTCAGTTATACAATCTATTCTAAAAATTGATTATAAAATTTTGACTATGAATTTTTATATCAGGTAGTTTAGTTGATTTGTTCTATTGTATGTATTTTGTACGAACATTATGAAAATAACTTTCGATTATAAATGTTGACACATCTCCCGGATGAAAGTTCTTTATAGGTCAGAAAGAAAAAACCCGTCAAACAAACTTTACAAACACGGGAATTATAAATATTCAGTTGTTTTTGTTTAAATTAGCTTCGTGTAAAAGTAGACCGTTTGAAAGAGCTTCGGCCAGTGTCGCAGTTGTAGAAAATAATAATAAAACCGCAGGACTCATCTGCGACCTGGCCTCTTTTCTCTTAATACATTCATAAAACCCTCGGGAAATAAACATCCGTTGGGTTGATACCTCGGCCCAGTCCTTCGCGTTCCAACTATAAGGATGACTCATGCCAGCAGCTTTGGAACAGGTTTCTCCGAATCCGAAATGTATCAAGCGACGATATACTTCCGACGTTTCGGAATGAGAAATGGTGGTAAACAACTGAGAAATTCAATCGATCATAGCAAGCGATGAAATAAAGTCAAACACCCACGACGGGGGAAATCCACTGGAAACCCAATGTTTTGTTAACTGAGAATTGTTTGGTGTCACAGTTTGTTAAAACACCTGTTCAAAAGTTAAATAAGAGTTTATAAAGTTATAACATTTAACACATCTCGACTTGTACCGTGCAATAACCAATATGGCAATGAACCATGAACCCAACGTTACCCTAAAGACCTTAAGATTAGATTGTACAGGAACCGGCCTCTTTACGACCTGCGCACCGCAACCAGTATTGGTTGAGTATACATCTCCATTTTTTTATCTAGAGTTCCTCGTTAAGCTTAACACTTTTTACCAGACCCCAAATCATGGACTCTCGTGTGCATCCTTCCTGCTTCGCTGTTTCTTCTTCTTCTTGGCAATATCTTCACAGGCTTCTTTCTGCCTCTCTGCGTTTATACATATGCCTCCGGAGTCTGCAGTTATTCTAGTATTTGCATGGGCTACATTCCCATTGAGCGGAGGACTTATTTTTAAATAGCTCTATACTAAGCTTGATGATGATAGTGGTGGTAGATACTAGGAAGTGGGGTTTTATTCCTCAAGCACTGCAGCCTTCTTACTTACTTATTGGGTTGTCTTATCACTCTCTGAGATTGCCAATCTTGGTGAAGGTTGATTTAGCATAAGTTTACTGTGTCTACCACCTCTAGAGTTTATCCACTTCTCATTTTACCTTTTTTGGATCCGTTCTGTGATGGAAGATTCAGTTTGTTTTTGTTAATCCAAGAATAGGGCCAGGGCCTAAACATGGTCTTGCAGATCCTCCTCTGGCCAGTGTGTCTGCTTTTTTCTACCCAAAATTACTGACATTTTTGATGTGATTTGTTTACATGCTAATGCTTTAATGGCTATCCGATCTTATGAGGATCTTATAAATTGTTGGAATTTATTTCAGCATGAAAGACCGAGGTGTACTTCCCTAATGAGTTTGATTGCTCATCCGGTTACTTAATTTGATTTGGAAACAATCTGTGAACCACATTGTTTCTAACGTCCTCCTGAATTCTAGGATGTTGTAAAGAGGGTTTCCGTGATCATGTAGTTTATTATTTATTGTTATGTGCCCGAAGTGTTTAGTTCCCATCCGGTTTGTTTCTGGAGCCTAAATTCCAAGTGAGGTAGGTTCAGGTTCAGCAGTGTTTTTAATGCAATTGACGATGAAATCACATAAGAGTTTTCGTCTACATTGAAGCAAATAAGGTAGCCAAATATTTGTTCGGTAACTACATAACAACGATTTGTGATTTACTGCACTTTCAAACTCGATCTGAACATTCTATTTTAAAGGTCGACATGGCCTCTTCGAGTTATGCAAAATCATTGATTTGTCAGCAGGATTTGTTGTTGTTTATTTTTGCTGTTTTAAATAAATGTGACGCCAATGTTTTTTATGTAAGGTTCAATGCTAGGAAAACCTTGGATCTTTAATGAACCTCGATTAGGTCGCTTTTCATTGGTCGATGATGCTAAATTCCTCAAGACTCGAGAGTACAAGCCAGGATTTGTAAACCATATGTTAGCATGGACATGTCTCTGCGGCTTGGGTTAGAAGCCTGAAAGTCGCGCTGCAATGATGACCCCCGACTCTCCTTTCTTACGTGCAGTATTGGGCACTATAGCACCATGGGTGTATTGTCTTTCCGAGGCATCATGCCACCCAGAGGGCCTGGCAGTTCCCGAGCAGAGACCTCCAGCACGGACAATCAACTTCCTACCACATGCAGACCTATCCACCTATCTTTTCCTGTTTGGATTTTACGGTTCGAACAATGATGAACTAAACAAGCTCCTATAGACCGTGGTGGTCCTAAACCCTAAATTTGTTTGGTAGTTGAATGGAATGGGAAACTATCGGCCATAATTAAGCTCACCGCCTTCCCACAAAAGTTGATGACCAGAATAATAAACCAAAATTAAATTTTATGATTTGTTAGTCATAAAAAATCGCATCGATAGTTAAAGAAATTTGTTCCAAGAAAAATGATTTCGGAAAAGGAAACTACAATGAAAAAAAGGATATTTTTCGAAATATTCTATCCACTCTGAACAGTCACACTTCTAGGGGGGGGGGGGGAATAGTTTTTTGCATGGGATAAAACTATAAAGCTATCTGGCATTTAGAGCTTGTAAAAAATGGCAGGGAAATCCTTCTCGGCTTCGATAGAATATAACGAAGTTTGAAAAGAGAAATGAAAAAGTGCTACATACAAGACAAATTACGCGTTTCATTCGACGCAGACAAAATACGCAAAAATGAAAGGTGTCTTCCCTCACCCAATTTATAACCCTGATGACCATGGTATATAGTTGCTTATTGTTTTACACTTGCAATAATTAAAACTACTATAATATGAAATTTGGGGGGGGGGATAAATGATAATGATTCCGTCGAAACCGATGGGTATGTATGTTAGGAAATAATGTCTTATGTTTTGACGAATACAATATCTATGTATATTAAAAAGGTTTCGAATAGAGCCACTTATATTAAATTTTAAAAGTTGATATTGAACCAACACACTTTTCTCTAGGTATGAGTTTAATTAAAGAATTAGATTTGCCAATTTATAAAGATTCGATATGGAATTATTGTGTAATTAAAAAGGAAATAAACCGAAGAGACTTGATCTATTGGATAAATGCAAAATTTTCAATTCCCGTTGATTGACATTTCAAATAAAAACCAAATCATCTCCTCTTTTATCTCCTCTTTAATAATTATTATTATGGTTTTACGACTCACTTCTTCAAATATTAACAGGATTTAACATATAAATAGAGCCTCGTTTAAAAAATAAAAACGGCTGACGTTTCAAGTTTGAGCCGGCGTTAGCCAAGGACAGAGTCGAAGGACGATGATAGGGGATCGGTTGCACAGGACGACCACGTGTCTCATGGAGTCGTGTCCCATGGATTCACCTGACATTTGTTTCATAAGCTTTAGCTTTTTCAGTTCTGATTCGGCTTTTTCTTTTGCTTCTTTTGAAAGTTTATGGAGAACCTTCCTGCTTTAATGTTTCAAAATAGTCATACTAATCGCATGAATGTAGTTTATTATCGTCGGGATGGGAATATATCTTGGATAGATTCCAAATAAATTTTTGCTTTTTCTAGTTCCTCTTTTAATTTTTGCTCAATATGTATTTTGGATTTTTCAGCTTGCCAGCTAGCACTCATATCATAAGAAAGAGATTCAAG